CACATGCCTGACATTCTGGAACTGTTCTCCATCTATACCATAAGGGCCACCACGAATCTCACAATTAAGATAATATCTATAAAATGAATTCACAGTGTCAGGTACAGAGTAAGGGCTCAATAAATCATAGGTGCTATGTTGATGATGATGATGATGATTTTAATAAGTATTGGTTAACCTCTCTGGGCCTCTGTAAAAGTGTGATGACAATATGCATCTCATAGCAAGGACCACATGAGGGCATGGGATGGAAAGTGCATTTTGAGATGCAAAATCCTATGCGAATGTATTAATGATCATTGACAGAACAAATAATGGAAAGTTTTTCTAAGCAGGGAAACCTGTCCTTCCGGGGCAGGCCACAAGAGGGCACCATTCTGCCCGGCCCGGGTCAAGCCTCCTCCGCGGCTCCCCCAGAGGCACCAGGTCCAGGCTTCCCCTGCAGGAAAAGAGGGCGCAGACCCTCCCTGCGGGAAGGGCCTCGGCCTGCTCCTTGGGATCTGTCCCTGGACTTGTCACTAGGATGCCAATTCCTTCTCCCCACAGGACGGAGGCCCACGGCGTGGCATTTAGGGATGTGTTTGTAACTGTTATTGTTGAGGGCTGTGTTCGGGAAAGGTTTCAACGCTGAAATCCTGCAGCGGGAGTGCGAGATCTCACGTTTCTGTGCGTGGGATGGAGTCTGTGCTTCTAGCGCGCCGGGGCTCCGGTTGTCTCGTTTCCGCGGCAGCCCCGGCGCACGCGGATGCCCAGGAAGGGCTGGTGGGGCTGCCTTGAGATGGGTAACGAGGGCGCGGCCTTTGCTGTATGTTTGCCGTTATTCCCGTCCACCCTCCACCCCCGAGGATCTCAAACCACAGCGCGGAACCTGCCCCGTCTTAACTGGTGATAGTTCCCCAGGGGTGGAGTCGGGGTTCTAGAAGGAACAAGGCCTTTGAGTGTCGAGAAGGCTCTGGCGGCTGGCTGGGTCCTTTCTCAAAGCTGAACAGCACCGGGGTGTGTCACAGGGCCGGTGGGGTCTGGAGAGGGGCTCCCACGTGCGCTGACTCCCCCCTCCTCCCCGAGGCTCCTGGGGTGCGCAGGAGAGATGCGGGGAGGTGCCATGCATCTAGGAATGGTCGTGTAAAAGGTTGTTGCTCAGGCTGTAGGGTTCTTTACCTCAAAATGTAGCAGAGCCTGGAAGATCATGCCAAGAGTGGGGCAACTGTGTTTAAAATGTCCCCAAGTGTTGGCCACGATGCCTGTGGGACGGCTGGAGCCCGGGGGTCGGGACTCTCAACCCTGACACCTGTGTGAGGTGTGATTTCACATTCTTCTGTTTGCCTGGTCAGTCAGCCTTTGGGACTGAAGGGGAGAGGGCGCCTCGTGGCCAGGCTCCTTGGCTGGTGCCTGGCCCACCCCGGTGGACCTTACCTCCTGGGACTCTTTCCTTCCCCTAACCCTCCACAGCGGGGTGTTCCCAGACAAGGCATGGCAGCTTTCTGGGCCTTCTGCTGCCCCAGTGTGGGTCCCCATTGCTGTCTGTGCTGGCCTCTGGAAACGTCTGGCAACGTGAAGGCACATGGGGGGTCACCTCAAGGGGGCTGTGCTATGGGGCTGAATTGTGTCCCCCCAAATTCGTGTTGAAGTCCTAACCCCCAGTACATCAGAAAGTGAGCGTACTTGGAGACAGGTTGAATGAGGTCATTAGGGTGAGCCCTGATCCAGCATGACCGGTGTCCTTATAAGAAAGGAGATTAGGATGTGGATACACAGAGTGAAGACACAGGGAGAAGGCAGCCATCTGTAAGACAGAGAAGCCTCAGAAGAAACCAACCCTGCCAGCACCTGATCTTAGACTTCTAGCCTCCAGAATGATGAGAAAATAAATTTCTATAGTTTTAGCTGCCTAGTCTGTGGTACTTTGTTATGACAGCTCGGGCCAACTAATACAGGTTCTTTCTATGCCTTCTCTTCCTCCCCTGTTCCCAGGAAGAAACGGGACACAAATCAAGGGTCCAGCAGTTTATTATAGTCACAGAGCACAGAAGGGACCACACAGGTCTTACTTTTTTACCTTCCGCCACCCCCCCCAGGGAAGCCACAGAGAGATAGCCCTACTCGTCAAGTCAGGCCAAATGGGAGGGAGGAGGCAAGGGCAGGTTAAAAGCATAAACACAGACTTGATCTGATCCCAGATTCACCGTTATTAGCTGTGTGGCCTTAGGCAAGTCTCTTAACCTCTCTGAGCCTTGGCTTCCTTGTCTGTGAAATGGAGTAAATGATAAAACCTGTCTCACTGGGTTCTTGTGAGCACTGAATGAGGTAATGCCTGTGCACCTGTTTAGAGAGTATCTGGCAAATTGTAAGTGCTCCATGAGTAGAAGCTATTACTATCATTGTTAGGAGCAAATCAGATTTCTCCATGGTCAGGCCAGCTCCAGTCTCTGTGTATGAGAAGAGTAGATCTCGTACATCATAAATGTCTTCCATGTGGGCCGTTAGGAAGACAGCTTGAGCCATGTGTGGGAGCCACCTCGTCCCTGGGACTATGGGGATCAGACCCCCAAAGTGAGGACTCTGGGGCCATGACACCCACCATCTCTACCAACTCCATGAAAAACGCAAGGAAGAGTTTGTGAAAAGTTCTGGTTTTGTCCCTGGACCACCTCGGGTCCTCGGCATTCGGTCCATTAGCATTCCCAATGTCTATTCAGAGAGTCTTTTTAGGTTTTATTTTTGTAGTTTTTGCTTTTAGCTAAGGAATTGCCACAGGCCACTGGACTTGGGATCAATCCTGGCTCTTCCTTTTGCTGTCTGGGCGACCTGGGGCTGGTCACTTCACCTCTCTGAGCCTCCCCTACCACACAGACCTTCAGGGAGCTTTGAGGAGGAAGCCAGGCTTTGGAACTAAAAGGACACTGAGTGCTGGAGCCACCACTAGTAATGAGCTGATGGATGGGGCTTGAGTGGTCACTGCCTCAGAAGTGCGTGGGGCTAAAGGAATCTCGGGGCGGTGCGTGTGCGTGTGCGTGTGTTCCTGGAGTGGGTAGCAGCAGGCATCACCACAAGAGGGCGCTCTGAGCTTTTTTGTCTTCTCCGGGTTGATGGAAAAAATTTCTATTTTTCTCTGGCTGTATTCCAAATGGAACTAAGACTTATAGTTTTTAGTTTACCTAACTGATTTAATAAACTGTTAAAATAAATTCGTGCGCGTTTATTAATTTGTCAATCATGCAGATACGCTCTTGTGGCCCCTACCACACGGCATGCTGGGAAGTGGGGTAAGGGTGGGTGGAGACCGGGAGAACCCGTGCTTTACAGCGTCCCGGTTCAGCCACTGCTCCGCGAGCGTCGGGGCAAATTTCCCAAGAGTATGGCAGCGGTGAAGTTCCCACATCCAGCCTCATAGGGATGTTACGAAATGGACAATATGGAAAGAAGAGCAACTTAAAGGTCAAGAAGACGGTCTGCGAGCCCTCTTACCTCCAGCGCACGGGCCTCTCCTTGCCCCTCATCCTGTGCTTGAGCCGAGGCCCCACAGGGCCAACTCTGGGGTGGGAAGGAGGCGAATCCAGCTGTTAAACCATGACCTCAAGAACAGTATTTCCAGGAATCCCCATCTTAGCATCTAAGGGATTCCTGGGAAAACTGGACCGTGAGGACAAGGTGAGAGAGTGGCCTTCAGCCCCAAGGCCCTGCTACGTCCCTAAGGACCAGCTGGAGTTTTCTTCTGCTTCCAGCCCCATCTGCAGAAGCCAGCATGGGTGCCACGAATCGCAGGATGTGGCTGATCTCTCCAGGAGGAATAGTGACTGGAACTTCCAAGTGCCCTGGAAAGTACCTTCCGCGTTGTCAAGAGCCATGTTGTCAACCAGAAGCCCTCTGGGGTCCCAGCCGCCCTCCCTCCCCGTGGCTGCCATGGGTCGTGTGTATTCCTGAGCCTCCAGCCAAAGGGAGGCAGATCCCGTTCTCAGTCTCTGGCAACTCCCTCGCTGGTGACCTCCAGCAAGTCACTTAACCTTGGCTTTCCTCAACTGTAAAATGGGACAGTCTAGGTCCTACTGCATAAGGTGAGATAAATACAATGTTGGGGGACAGGCAGGAGGAAAGGAGTCCTTAGGATTAGTGGAGAGTGGCTGGGTCTGTCTTTGCTAAAAGCGGCCTGAGATACAGGGACGAGACCAGAGGAGGATTTATGATGTTCTCCTTCCGCTGCCCACCCCTGGGGCACACAGTCACGTGCAGTGGGTGAGAACACGAATTTGACGGCCGAGAGATTAGGCTACAACCCCGACTCAGCACAACTCACGAGTGACCTTGGGTGAGTTGCTTAACCGAACCTCAGTCTTCTCATCTGTAAAATGGGTCAATAACATTGCTCACCTCCCAAGCTTGTTGGGAGGTTAAATAAAGTTGTGCTTAGCCCAGCTATTCTCCTCTGCTGGTCCCTGCTTGTCTGGCGCCTCCAAGAGAGGTCAGACATTGGTGAGGCCTGGACTGGGTCAGGCAAGGGCCGGGAGCCAAAGGTAAGAGCTCAAAACATGAAGAGCCCAGAGCTTTGTCTTTAGGGATGAAAGGGTTTTTAGAAATTGTCCAATCCACAAATGATGAATGGGTTTCAGCTCTGAATCATTAAGAGTCGCTACCCAGGACTTTGTGTTGAGAAGGATTCTGAAGCCGCATCTGAACATTTCCAGAATGGACGCCTTCTCTGATTAGCAGGGGCCACCAAGGGCTCAGAAAGAGAAAGCAGAGGCAGGGTGCTGGGTGAGGGCCCCCACTGGAGGGTCCAACACTTCATTCCACAGATGGACAAAACTAGGGTACACAGAAGAGTCAATGCTCGCCCCGAATCACAGAGCGCATAGGGACACAGGTGGGACCTGAGTCCAGAAACTTCCTCTGCAGGAACAGCTGACAGTGTGGAGACTGGAAATGCTCCCGTCCTGCCTGGCGCCCCCAAGCGCCACCACCACTCACCGCTTCCAGGCTGATGGCCGCAGAACAACTTCTCCCTTCCTGAGCTACAGTGCTTCATCTCAGACTCCCAACTGACCAGAGATGCAGCACTGCACCTCGGGCCGGGGGACAGGGCGCCGGCGCTCTGTGGGCTCATGGCTGGGTCCGCCCTGGGCAGGAGAAGGGGTGTTAGACGGGCCTCAGCCCTGCCCACCAACGCCAACCCCAGAGACTCTGGAACTCCCCCTGCTGCGTTCCTATCCTCAGCCTGGCGTTGGAGCTCTCTGGGACCAAGCCTCCACCTTTCTTTTCTTTTTTTTTTTTCAAACAGCTTTATTGAGGTATAATCCCCCTACTGAAAGTGTACAATGAAATGGTTTTTAATATGTTCACAAAGTTGTGCAACCATCACCAGCATCAACTGTAGCCTTCATGGTGCCAAAAAGAAACCTCTTATCCTCAGCCCCTCCCAGCCCCCAGCACCCCCGCCCTGGGCAGGCCCCTTTCTGTCCCGCAGAGCTGCCTATTCCAGACATTTCAATAAATGGAATCATCCAATCCGTTGACCCCACGCCCCAGCTTGACGCTTGGTACATCCCAGCCAAACAGCAATTCACGGTACTTGATGTTTTATTTCATCCGTGTTTGCTTCAGCCTCCTACTGGTCTCCCTGCTCCCACTCCCCCCACTTCCCAGCCATCCTTCCCAGCCATCCTCCCAGAGCGGTCTTTAAAAATGCAAATATGGTCATATTTCTCCCCTGCTTAAAATCCTGCTTAAAATTCTGAAACTCTCTCCAAAGGGTACGGCACTGCCCCAGCTGGCCCCAGCTGGCCTCTTGGGCCACTGCCCTGTCCTTCTACTCCTCCAGGGAGCCCTGTGCCCACTACCTCGGGGCCTCCCAGGGGTCATGCTGCTCCTCCCCGCTCCCCTGCACGTCTCCTCTTCATGTGCTTAGTCTCTACTCAAACGTCCACTTCTTCTGGGAAGCCGCCCCCTCCGACTTCCTCGGACATCAGGACGCCCTCGTCCATGTCAACACGCATCTTGTGCCTTCTTTCTAATCCTTTACCACACTTGTGATGTAGTGTTCGTTTATGACCACCTGCACTCGTGGACTGCATGGCCCGCCTGTGAGGGAAGGGACCCTGCCTCCTGTATTCCCCCCCGGAAGCAGGGCCGGGCAATGTAGACATGCAGTGGGCACTGGTTGAATGGCTGGATGTTCTCCTCAGCCTCGGTCTCTCCAGTGTCAGAGCTTTTTGCCTTAGGGGCTGACTGGGCTAGGTCTCCAGTTCCCGGAGGACAGCGCCCATATTTGTTGATCTGGGGGAGTCCCTGGGCCTTGCTGAGGGCTTTGTACATGATAACGGGCCCAGGAATGCCATTAGTGGATGACTGAATGGCCATGTAGATAATTCACTTTCCTCTCCAGACCTGGTTTGGGTGGGGACCTCAGAGTAAGCAGGCTGGGAGAGAGCAGGAGAAACACCCCTCCTTAACAAAATCGTGTCTCCCGTGCCTCTAGCAGAATCTGAAGTCAGGCCCAGATGCGAAGTGTTTTCCTCTGGTCTGCCACTTGGGGCAGGTCAGTCCCCACGGCCTGCTGCGGGGTGCTGCCCCTCCCCGAGGTATTCCCAGCTAAAGGACTGCCTTCCTCTAGTAGGGAATTCTCTTGTAGGAACTCTTTCCAAATTGCCTTTGGCTGGGGAGTGAATCCAACATCGGGACCCACCTTGGGGGTCCTGGGTGGCCCGCAGCCTGTCTACTCCACTCTCAGGCGGCTCCCACCAGGCCTGCGAGAGAAAACACTTGGCCTGACCGAGGTGGAGGTTTCCGAAAGGAGCCAGGGATAGCTGTCCTGAAAAAGCGATCATTTGCTGCCAGGAACCAGCCCCCTGCATTCCGCGGTCCTGACTGTTCCCAAAGCCCTCTCACCTAATGACCTTCGGCTTAGTGCAGAGAGAGGGCCATGTGGGCAGCCGGTGGCCTCAGCGCTGCCTTTGGAAGACAGAGTGACTCAAGTTACTCCTTGTCCGTTTGCTCTCAGTCCTTCTGTTCACCAAGCGGGGAGAAAGCCTCCGTTAGGTACTATCCCGTCTCTGACACTTCTCTGGCTCCCGTTTATCTCCTTATTTATATTTAGGTATTAACCATGATTCATCTTAAATTTAAAGAGATTATAATTGTTTACAGATATGGCAAAAAATATAAAAGGGGGCCTCCGAGTGAGTGCAATTTGGGAAATTGTGCCTGTCACGTTTAATCTTCAGAGTGGTTGGTGAGGGTGGCAGGCGGATGCTGTCACCTCCACCGGGAGGACCAGGAAGGGAAGGAGATGGTTCCAGGGTCACAGCCCAGCTTGAACCGGGGGAGCGATGGCTATTTCCAGCACATCCCATCGGGCTGAGAATATTACCGCAAAGAGTGCAGCTCTCCTGGGTGTAGTAACGGGAAGGAGAGGCAGGCCCACGCTCCTGTGGGAGAGACCGTGACGCAGGGCCAGGGCTGGGGCGCAGCCTTTGACGGGGGAAGGGATGGCCTCCGTCTGCTCTGGGGCTGTAGGCTGACTAGTTCTGTTCCTTTGTCTCTAGAAAAATCATGGTGATGCTGACGGCAGTAGGAACGGTCACTTATTGGCTGTTTTAACCGTGCTCATCCCCAAGGCCCGGTGGGAAGGGAATTTTCCCAGGGCATGGAGCTGGGAGCTGTGCTGGGATTCCTGACTCAGAACAGCCGACCCAGGACCCTCATTTTTAACCTCTACGCTGGATATCTCACCCCCTGGCCAATTTTCCAAGCGTTTGAGTTGGGGACAGGGCCTAACCGTTTCACCTGTCCGTTCAGCGACCCCAGTGCGTCTTCGATGTGCCAAGAGGAGAAGGGACTAAACCTTGCCCTGGAGGAGCGCAGTCAGGCTGAGGTGGAGGGAAATGCCCCTGGCAAGGTAAATAGAGAGCAGAACTAAGTGGCACAAGAGAGAGCCCAAGAAAGGACTGTTTGTCAAGGGCTTAGAGCACGAAGAGGTTCCTGCCCTGGCGTTAGCTGGGAGAGCTTCCTGGAGGAGGAGGTGGCATGGCTGGGCTGGGAGGAGGGGCAGAGGTGCAGGAAGGGTGCCCTTCTCCTGGCTCTCTGGCCCTGGGAACTCCTCCCCGAGTCTTGTGTCCTTGCTGGGCGGGCGGACAGTGCTGGCCCTGACCCTTGGTCTCCTTCAAATGAGGGCCTCCCTGGGCAGGGGGCCGATAGCCCTCCTACTCCACTTACCCACGATAGGCTCCCCTCACCCTGGGACCCCAGACGACAGACAGGGGCCACTGGGAGACCTGGGTTCTATCACTAACCGGTGTGGTCCCTTCTCAGAGGCGCCCTCCTCCCGTGGCTCCATTTCTCCTTCCACTGAAGGAGGCGGATGCACAGGTGGCCCCAGTCTCACCTGGCAAAACTTACCTGGTTGTTGGCTGTCTGGGGGTGGCTCCCGGAGGACGGGCCGATTTCCCCTCCCTGCTCCCCACTGTCTTCAGGAAATGTCACTGAGTGGGGGAACCTCTGTCTTCTGTCGAGAAGCTCGGGGAGGCTGGGAAGGAGAAAATAAACACTGGCTGTCTGGGTTTTCTCGCCAGGCCGGAGCGAGGAGGCCTCCCGGCTCCTTCCCTTATATGGCCAGGCCGCTCTGGGCTGGGAGCGAGCGGTGGCTCCCCCACCCTCCACCGCCACTGAGGGCTGGGGGCCACTGCCGGTCACCTGGATTCTGGTGCTGCGGAGGCCAGGCAGGGCTGAAGGTGGAGGCTGGGACCCAGGACATGTGCCCTGGCCGCCTGTCATGGAACTCCAGGCTGCTTGGGGTGGAGCGAGTGGGGAGGATTTATATTGGGAGACGGGGTTGGGGAGGAGGGTGTCCACCTGGTCCTGACTTAACCCTCAGCTCACGGCGTGACCCTGTCCAGGCCCTTCCCCTCCCCCAGCCTCTGTTTCTCCCTGTGTCATGGGGGTAAGGAAAATACTAATTAATCCTCACAGTCAGCCCCATGGGGTGGGAGGTTTGTAACCCTATTTCACAAAAGGGAAGACAAGTTTGGAGAGGCTAATCGAACCACAGCTATCCACTAAAAATGGAGCATGGTGGGATTTGAACTTGGGGCTGTCTGATTTCAGTGTCTGTGTTCTGAATGGGCTGCCTGTTGAGGCTCCTCTTAGTGATAATGTTCAACCACTCGCATGGGCCATATGGAAAAGGGATTCTGCTGGAGCTGCTCCCTGGAAGACCAGGGAGGCCTCAGTGCCCAAGGACCCAGCCCAAAGGAGACTGTTCCATTAAGCGATGGGGGCAGAGGCTGTAAGTCATTCATCTCGGTGTCCCCAGCACCCCACACAGGGTGTGGGGCGGACTCAGAGCTCAGGAAAGGAGAGTTGTGGAATCACAGAATCAATGGACCTCAGTGGTCACATCTGTATTGTGGGCACACTCTCCTAAGTCTCAGGCACTTCTGAGGATTAAACGAACTGGATGAGAAAGCACTGAGATGCCGCCTTACGATGGCATTGTCTTTCTGTTGACAAGTTCCCTTGTCCCTGTACAGTGCCTGCCTGTGTCTCGTCCCTAGGCCATTGTCTCCTGAGCTGACCAGTTCCCGCTCAGCCCAGCTGTGGGCCTGCAAGACGGAGATGGATCTGCTCGGGGCCTGGGCTCTGGGCTCTGGCAGCAGTGACCGTGGGAGAGGCTGCAAGAGGGGATGGCGGGAGGGGAAGTGGGGGTGGGTGGCTGGGAACAGCTCAGAAGTGAGCCTCGCACAAGCACGAACATCCTGTGTGCTCTTGAGCCAGCCCTGGAACCTCCCTCAGCCCATCCATCATCGTGGCATCCTCTCAGACCCCGGCCCTCTTCCTGGGGCCTGGGGGGGGGGGTGTCGAGGGGGCCCAGGACTGACTGTCAGTGCGATGGAGAGAGACTGCAGCTGGCAGCTCCGCAGGTCTGCTCAGTGTCGGAGGTGGACAGTCGTGGGGAGGAGGCGCCTGCAGGCTCCTAATCCAATTTGTTTAGACCTGTCTCCGAGGCTCATTGGCCAGCGAGCCAGGGCCGGGTGTGTGCGTTGTGCTGGGATGCACGTTTGCACACACGTGTGGGG